CATCCACATTTGCGACATAACCCCAGTATCCGCCCACATGCTACCCATAACCCTACTGCCCATCTGCCCACATACTAACCACAATCCCACTGCCCCCCATTTACACACTCACCACAATCCACTGTCACCACCCACACACACATTCACCATAATCCCACTGTCACTACTCACCCACACACTCATCATAACCCAACTGTCACCACCCACACACACATTCACCATAATCCCACTGTCACTACTCACCCACACACTCATCATAATCCAACTGTCACCACCCACATACACATTCACCATAATCCCACTGTCACTACTCACCCACACACCATAATCCCACTGTCACCACCCTCCCACACACTCATCATAATCCACTATCACCACCCACCTACACACTCGCCATAATCCCACTGTCACCACTGACACATACACTCACAATAATCCCCCTGTCACCAATGACCTTACCATAATCCCACTGTCACCACCAACACATACACTCACCATAATCCCCCTGTCACCAATGACCTCACCATAATCCCACTGTCACCAATGACCCACATACTCACCATAATCCCCATCACCAATCACCCACACACTCACCATAATCCCACTGTCACTACTCACCCACACATTCACCATAATCCCAATGTCACCACCCACCCACACATTCACCATAATCCCACCGTCACCACCCACCCACACATTCACTTTAATCCCAATGTAACCACCCACCACACATTCACCATAATCCCAATGTCACCACCCACCCACACATTCACTGTAATCCCAATGTCACCACCCACCCACACACTCACCATAATCCCAATGTAACCACCCACCCACACATTCACCATAATCCCTATGTCACCACCCACCCACATACTCACAATAATCCCAATGTCACCACCCACCCACACATTCACCAAAATCCCACTGTCACCACCCACCCACACACTCACAATAATCCCAATGTCACCACCCACCCACACATTCACCAAAATCCCACTGTCACCACCCACCCACACACTCACCATAATCCCACAGTCCCAACCCACCTACATACTCACTATAATTCCAAAGTCACCACAAACCCACACACTCACCATAACCATAATCCAACTGTCGCCAATCACCCACACACACTCACCATAATCTTAATGTCATTAATCACCCAACCGCTTACCTTAACCCCAATGTCACCAATTTAACTCGCACCCATCATGATTCCACTGTCCCAGCCCACCCACACACTCACCATAATCCCACTGTCACTGTCACAAATCACCCACACACTCACCATAATCAAACTGTCACCAATCACCAACACTCTCCATATGATCCCACTGCCATCTCTAGTTTTGTGCAAATTCACCTATACCACCAGCACAACAATTTTAGTCAATCACACAATATTTCACCACAAAAGCAAGGCAAACAAGATCTTCATCCCGAATCCGTAAAACAATGGGGGAAATAATTATCATAAGTGGAGGCAAACAAACTGATGAAGCATATGCTAGCTGTCTGAGGTGACATGCCCAGTAGACCTAAGCCAGAACTGAGGTGATGTAATATTGTCACGACATAACCTTCAATACTCTCTGTATCAGTGTTAAAAGAAATGACTTACATCCTTCTATACAAGCAAATAAACTTTGCGTTCTTTTAAGTCCCTGACAGACGCTAATTCAAAATAAATTATAGAACAAAGTAAAAGTACAAAAATAGTCTGATTATACTGATAGAAGAAAATCATGTTTCTTTACACAACTTCACCATGGATCCTTCAGTTCATTCCATTTTATCATTGGTCATTTTAAAAATATCTTAAGATTGAGGGTCAGAATGGTAGGATACTGTTTATGTTCAGGAAAAGTATCTTAACGACTTGAACTTCCATTAAATCTGCTGTAAGGGTGCAACTACACACACAGCTGTCGTTGATGATGAAACTTTGTTACGAACAGCAGTATGCAGAACTTAAGGTAGCAGTATTGTGAATTGCTACACATCAATAAAGGGGGGGTGGGGGGGTGGTGGGACTGAGAAAGCGAAATGAAATGAACTGTCCCGTGAAGGAGACAGAGGCATATCAACTTCTCAAGAGAGTACCTATGAAGACTTCAAGATCTTGTTTCTCCAGATTTACCCATCTTTAAAAAAGAAATAACAAAATCCAGTTTGCCAAGAACAGATGTTAGCAACACAGAAAAGAAATAAATGAAGTAGACCGCACCACAGCCCCTAGCAACCACCCACAGATGGGGGCTTAAAAGATGTTGAAACGTTCAAGCTGCAACTTCAAATAAGATACTACTAAGCGGTAAAATATAAAGGGGATAGATGAAAAGCTGGCCGGAAAAAAAATACACAGTAAAAATAATGAAACATAACAAATAAAAACTATAGAAAAAATACAAAAGACTTTAAACCGTTAATGGGAAAGGATTAGAAGCATGCACTGAAAAAGATGTTATAGTAATAACTATAGTCTGCGATCTGGATGTTATCAAAAAGTAAAATGTAGACTGTCTGCACACACTCTAAGGCAGCAAAGGTAGTTAATGGCAGCCATCATTCCATCTATAACCCCCCCCCCCCCCCCCAGCTAATTCAAACCTAAAAGTTTCTGACTATAATGCTCTTAAGTGTACTAACAACAGTGGCTGACCAACCTAAAACAGGGGTCATTCAGAAGATGGGGTTAGAAAATGAACATTCTTCTGTACAAAAAAAACAGTGAGGTGCCTTCATATCTGAATAATTTCAATTGGGAACATTATTACAGGGATTCAAGCTCTAAGTCACAGAGAGAACGGTAATGAGTCTTATCAACTGACGAAACAGCGTATTGCCTGACACTTCTCAAAGGACTTTCTTTTATTTTTCATTTCACCGAGACCAAACTATTACCCAGTAACTGTCAAATCATCATTAGAAAATGATTCTAAAAAGTTGACACAAGTATATGACAGCTAAAAAAAAAAATGACGTTCCCACATACACTTATTTCATCATTTTCTTCTCTCCAGGGCATATTAGAAATGATATGCATGGCAAAACTATGCATGTCACAGAGCCGCAAATGTCTTACCCTAAGAATCTCTTTGAGGAGGGGCAAACCACTAGCTACAAACCATACATGTTTTGCATAATAATGACGATGATAATAATAATGATAATGATGATGATGATAATAATAATAATAATAATAATAATAATAATAATAATAATAATAATAATAATAATAATGATAACAACAACAACAGGGTTTTGGAGATTCGAGGCTCCGCTTGGCCCAAAGTTGTGTCCTTGGGAAAGGCACTTTACACAAATTCTCCTCACTTCACCTATTCACCTAGGTGTGAATGGGTACCCAGTCATAAACAGTGAAAGGTCTTGACAGAATGTTGGTATTTTAGTGCCTGTTGATTCACAGCTTGCACTGTGTGCTTTCCAGCAAGCTGAGATTGTATCAGAATGCTATCAGGTCTGTTGGTGTATTTCCAGAGATGGCAAAGTGCACAGAGCTTATTGTTGAGCAGAAATTTGCCCAACACAAATGCAGTGCTATTCATTTTCTATAATAGTAAAGATGAGTGTGATAACACAGTGGTGGCAATTATATTAATTAGTCTGATGATGATGATGATGATGATGATGATGATGATGATGATGATGATGATGATGATAATAATAATAATAATAAAAATAATAATAGTAACATTGGTACAATAATCAAGCAGAATCAAATAAAACGTGAATTATGATGTGTAGTAGTTGGTGAACCTAGCATGAAGCTAGTCTTGGGTCATTACTGAACCGTAGTCATGACATGCCGCAACACAAAAGCTGCCGGAAAAACAACTTTCCTCACAAGACTTTTTACCACAAGAAAACCATCACCCCTCACACCGCAGCAACATACTGAACTCAAAGCAGCTGACCTTACCTCATTCTCTTTATATTCTATATGTAACAGAAAATAAATATGTAATCCAACCTACTCCAATGGCCGTGTGTCCAAGACAATCCCCCCCCAGTAAAAACGACCACTTCCCACTTTCACTCTTGTATATTCTTTTAATATCTGTATTACCTGTCCTGGGCAACAACGTCATTGCACACCAGACAGATCCATAAGTGCTCAGTTCCCCCCAGCACCAAAGCCCGCAAGGTATCCATACTGATTCTTTTAATATCATTATGACACTGTCCATGTCATCCACCAGTCTAATGAATCCATCTTTGTCCTCCACAACGGGTTGCCATCAGGGACAATTTCAACCGGATAAGACATATTTATATCACCCTGTTCCAACAGGCACCCTTTACGATGATTCATGCTTTTTCCATGTTCTTTTTAGAAAAGAAAAAAAAAAAAACACCACCAAAAAAAAAAAATTCATGAAACGGAACTGGACAAACAATCTGGGCCTCTACATCAGTCATGAGGGAACATCAGGATAGCTAGTAGGACAACCAGACTTCAGACTTCAACAGCCTGACCTCCAAAACAAGGGCCTGGTTTAACAAATTATGGGGAAGTCTACACACCTTTAGGGACACTTGTGGTTAAAGCTTTCGAAGTACCAAATCCTCCTGTGCAGAAAAGACAGCAAAGAGACAGACCTGGATTAAACCCATCTGCCAAAAATATATGGAAGACTATTCCTTTTTACAGAAATGGAAAATGATAACATGTAGATGACAACAACAACAATGAAAACAATATAAAAGAAAAGAAACATAAGATATAATAAAAGGAGTAAAGGTAAAAGCTTCTAGATGAGAGCCCTGTCCTAAATCGTTACTTTTCAAACTAAATTGTTACTTTTTTAAAATGTCGTGACAATACACATTTTGTTACTTGACAGAAGAAATGCTCCTTGCACGGGATGAGTATTATATAGCTGTTAAGTGAAAAGAGGGCTTAAGAAAGTTAAAAAGTTAAAATGAAATAATAAAAACCGTAAAACAATTTCTACTCCTCATACTCTTCAAGGTCCTTTAAGATGCTTCCCATCCCAAAGTATTATTCACTTGAAAAATCCCAAGATAACTTTCATCTATGATATAATGACTCTGACTAATTACAGGAATATAAAATATTCAAAAGGGCACCTCGGTAAATAAAAGGAAAGCATAAAAAAGGGTGGTTTGGGGGGAGGGAGGATTGATGGCTGAAGTAGCCCTACTGATATACAAAAGTAAATATCTTTGCAGTTCTGAAAGCTGCACAGTGTTTATCTGTGACAGCCCAAACATTCCATATCCGTTAAAACTACTACTACTATAAAGTTCAGTTAAAGCTCTACCGCGTTCATTTCACAAATCACAATATTTTAATGCATTAGAACTATGAAAACTGAAACTAGGTCTGCCACAATTAGTATCGGGCAGATATAACACATGACAGCCACATTGTGCAGTGAAAAAACAAGACAATAAAAAAGAGATATAGAGGAAAGATACAGGAATAAGTATAAGAAGCCTCCATAATGTGTCCACCAGCTTTTGGTACCTCAAGAATGAAACTGTTTCTTGTTGGGGATACTTTATAGATTGATAATAAATGTTTTACGCCCTCTGTCAACACAATTAAGAACACTTAGAAGGCGGGCAGTTTAGATTCTACCCACCAACGTGGGTTCAGTGGATTACAGCATCCCAAAAAAAACAGACAGATATACTCAATAAAATAACTTAACTGCTCTGTTCACCATCATCATCATCATCATCATCAAATATTTTTTTTTATGTCCTTAATCATGTTTTGTTATTCCTGAAGCATAACAATAACTACCATGTTGAGACATTTTTTAACATAACTTACAAATATCGGCACCAAATCAGAACATGAGGCCCAAAAAACTTCTCTAGAAGCCAACCCACATCTTCTACATGCAACCTTAAGAGCGTAACTATTTCACTACAGACACTGATTGAGTTAAAGCTTGTAGTGCAAAGAAAATGTATCTAGAATTGCAGATAGTTCATAAAGACTGGAAAAAAAGCAGGTCAAATAAGTGCTGAAGATTAGAGGTGTTACTCGAGAAAAAGACAGTAACAAAGGAAAGATATAAGGATGATAGATGTTTGAAAGGATAGAAGACGCAAATCACACCACAGCACCTGACAACCACCCACACACACTATGCCAAATGTATTATAACAATAATCAGAGCACAACACCTCTGTCTTTGTAGGACTAGGAACTTTCAGCATGTCAAAAGCACTAACGTTCAAATTTTCAAGTCCATAAGAGTCTGAAATTTTCAACTCTCTTCTCTAAAACGTTTCCGTTCAGTAAAGCACCTTGTAGAGGGGAACAAAAGCTTCACTTTAAGAGTAACCTATTCTGTTTCTTGTCGGATGTTACACTTCAACAATCATAGCAACGCTAAGGGGCCGGCAATCAGAAGTGAATGCCAACTGGAGTTGAATAGCAGGATACTTTTCATAAAAAGATGAGCAACATCGCCAATAAAAAGTGAGCAGCGAGCATGACCCAGTTAAGCTGACAATTACTTGAAATTCTAGCTCAAATAAATGTCAAAAGTAAAAAAACAAACCCTGTTACTTGAGACTTGAAGTGTGTGTTTGTGTGAGTGTATGTGTGTGTGTGGCTGTGTGTGTGTGTGTGTGTATGTGTATGTGTGTGCGAGTGTGTG